AACCCCTAACCTCTAACCTCTAACCCCTAACCCCTAACCTCTAACCCCTAACCCCTAACCCTAACCCCTAACCTCTAACCCCTAACCCCTAACCCTAACCTCTAACCCCTAACCTCTAACCTCTAACCCCTAACCCCTAACCTCTAACCCCTAACCCCTAACCCTAACCCCTAACCCCTAACCTCTAACCCCTAACCTCTAACCTCTAACCCCTAACCCCTAACTGTAACAAACACAAGAATATTTTGTTTCTGGTTTTTATTTACAGAGTAAAAAATGTTTTTGCTTTAGATATTTACCTGTCAGTAAAGTCCAGACTACAACAGTTTGTGACTCAGTCTGAAACATGTTTACAATAAAAACTCCTGAAAGTSTTTGGAACAACAGGTGGGACCACTGAAGGGTCCTGACTGGGTCTTGGTGGTACCAGGTTCTGACGGGTCGTGCAGATTGTGTAGRATTGTTATTCAGTGCGATGAAGGCACAGCAGGAAAACTCTGATTTATGACATTTGTTGTAGACCTATGACTTATTTCTTTTTGACTTTTTTAAATTGTTTAAAAAAATGATAAATTTTGATCAAATTTCTTGTAAAAACATAAGTATTTTTTCTAAAAGTTGATGACACAATGACGTCATTAAACTGCATCAATTATCAGGCCCTGACATTATTTGTCCTAAATTCATAGAAAATTTATCATTTTCTAGAAAATTTCGGCTGCTTTGCAACCTCCACCTTGGCTTACAAATGTAAAATAGAAAACAAAAATGTAAATTAGTTTTTATGCATCCTAGTGGAGCCTACAAATAAAAATAACAGTAATTAGGTGTTCCTGTTGGCTGGAAGCATCAGTCTGTTTATCTTATTTGTCTTTGAGTCGTTGGTTCTTCCACTGCTGCTGCTTGGCTGCACTGACCACAGCTAAAAGTGTTTCTGAGGACTTTCTGAAATGAAGAGCTAGAGAAAAAGTAAATGAGTGGGTCTAAAGCACTGTTGAGATAAGTGAAGGCCATGCATATCATGAAGAGATAAATGCACAGGTTGTAAGAGGCACACTCTGTAGGATGGTACGTCTTGATGTACAAGCCCACCAGCCCAGTGAAGACACTTGGCAGGAAGCAGAAGGTGAACACCATGCTGATGACTGTCACCACTCGAATGGCCCGTCGGACCTTCTCCTTGTTCAGTCGCAGTTTGTGGAGGTGGTAGACAATCCTGGCTGAGCAGAAGAGCAGCACCAACCACGGCAGGAGGAACTCCGTCACATAAGCAACGTAGTGCACCTGTAAGGGCAGAGGGATGACGTGGTACGAGTTAAAACTGCGACACAAACTGATGTTGGCTCTCTTCTGGAGGAGCTCAGCGGTCAGCAGTGGGATCCGAAGGCTGATCACACAAACCCAAGTCAGCCCTGCAAGCATGGCCGCCTGTGCCGAAGTCAGTCGGCTGATGTAGTGATGAGGGTGGACCACCTTAAAGTAACGGTGCAGGGCCACAACTGTCATGAATGCGATGCTGGCAGACCGGTTGACAGACAGCATGTAGAGGTTAATCCGGCACCAGATTGGTCCAAACGTCCAGTCATCCCCTCGCCAATAGGCGTCAATGCGGAAGGGCACGCTGATGAGGAGCAGGAAGTCAGCCAGGACCAGGTTAAAAAGGAAAATAACGTGGGCTTTCCAGAGCTTCATGCAGCAACAGAAAATCCACAGGGCCAGTATACTTCCTGGAAGACCCACAAGGGTCTCAATCATCAAGAAAACCAGCAGGAAGACATTTCCTGCACTGTCATCAGGAGCCGGGCAAGTTTCACTTTCATTCAAATCCATCGTGTCTGAGTGGTGTCAGAGCGTCCCTGTTTCAAAACTGTTAGAGAAAAGAGAGAAAATATGAGCTTTGATTGGTCCATTAAACCGTTTCCAAAGTTCAGCTCAGTTAGTATTTCTAAGTTTTACTGAGGTTATACTAACCCTAACCCTAACCTAACCACAGTCTGCTAATAATAATAATAAAAATAATAACAAAACTGAATAAAATGGTGTCAGAGATGTTGGTCAGTGATGAGAATATAACAAACTGACACTGAGAAGGATTTATTTTATCATATCAACAGAAATAATAAAAGAGGTGGACGAGTTGTTCTTTTTATAAAGACTGAAATAAAGTGTAAAATAAATGATCAAATGTCATGAAAATATTTACAGCTGAGATATTAAATGAGATGTGATCACAGGTCCAGAGTTCAACCAGAACACGACCTGAAGAAGAGCTGAAGGTCAGAGGAACAGAACAAACAGGAACTGGTTTAACAATGAACCAGCAAACTAAATCACCTTTAATGTCAGAAAACAAAAGTTATAAAAGGATCATTAACACAACTTCAGTTGTGATATGAACACCTGAATTACAAACAATATGTTGAGTTAGGAATGTTCATTTAATTATTGAATGTTCTGTAATAAATCTGTTTCTGAAACATCCAATCAGAGTTAAAGCTGAGTCAGCAGATTATCTACCAGGTTAAACCAGCCTAACCTAACCCTGACCGTAMGAAACTAATGAGACCTGATTTTACTGCTGGACCTTTGCTCTTTGAGCATCAGCTCAGGTGTTTCTCTGGTTTTTACACAACTCTGGCTCTGTGAGCCATGATCCATGTGTTCAGAGGCAGGTGTTGCTGATCAGAAGATGTCTCTGTGCTGAGGACAGTGTTGTTGTGGTTGTCCTGTCTTTGGACAGTCCTGCACCTTCTGGGTCTTTGTTTTCAATGCATGAGTAAAATGTAAAAATTACTGATAAACGTCAGTAAAAATTACTGGTTAACATCAGTAAAAGTTACTGGTAAACATCAGTAAAAATTACTGGTAAACATCAGTAAAAGTTACTGGTAAACATCAGTAAAAATTACTGGTAAACATCAGTAAAAGTTACTGGTAAACATCAGTAAAAGTTACTGGTAAACATCAGTAAAAGGTACTGGTTAACATCAGTAAAAGTTACTAG